CTAAAATGAAGAAAATGAGGAGTAATTAATATATGTACTCCATTGTTATAATAACGTGGATTGATATAAACAAAATTAACAATCAAAACATATTCAGCATGGCAATGGCACACAGTAGGCGTGATATATGGGTGCGACTAACTATTCGAAGAACATATATATAATAAAAACCAAGGTATTGTGTGATCAGGAATAAATCAGAGTTTGAGGAACACATGGTTAGATTGGGGACAGCTAGCATGTTACATTTTGAGGCAGCATAGTGATCGACCATGTGGTATAATGTAAGCACAGTTCCTGGTGGTTAGGGAATTAGAAGGTCCTTGGTACACAGGGAGGACCCCCAGGTTTACCCAGACCAGGTCCCGGGACAAGACTTCCCCGAGGGGGTAATAGTGTATTTACAGCTAAAGAATATGAGGGGAAAACACTGCCATTATACTGGCATGCTAGGTTTTCAAGCTCTGCAGTAAAACCCTGCTGGGACATGCTCACCAGTTCAGCAACTTTGAGCATGGCCATTGGTTGGATGGGGGATTGTCTGCATTTTACGCACAAGGTATTCAAGTTATTGCAGTTTGGGTAATTAATCCAAGATTACTTATTTAATAAAGAATATACATACATGTATATATCTATAAGAACATTGTCATGAACAATCAAAGGGGGGTATATTCAAGTAATGCAAGTTCAAGTAAGAAGTTTCACACTGTACAGCTCTGCTTAGTTTAGAGGGTCCATGAAAAGTGGAAAAGAAAAACTGAATGAAAGAAAAGAAAATATTGAATCAGTTTGTACAATACAAAACAAACTCAGCAGAGTATGTTACAAAACAGCCTTCTATTAAGCATTCGGTATCTGCCAAAATATGTCCTGGTATTCCAGAAGAGGTAAAAGCATCTGCTAGCCACTATTTTACTCCCTAAGTTTTTTTATATAAATTCAGATGCAGACCAATAGTGCCAACCCCACAGAATTAAATATCTGTGTGTGGTTTGGGAGTGTTAAGCCAACCAATTTCTGGCAAATTGCATTAATAGTTGTCCAATGTGAATAATAGGGTAAGAATTAGCTGGCCACCAACCAACAGGTTCGTCTTCACTTAATAACAAATAAGGGAAAAAAACTAATGAAATTATATGTGTAAAGAGAAATAGATGAGGTACTGCAGAACTTCTCTCTTTAACTCATTCACCCCTGCAGACAAATTTGAACACCTACAATTCAAAGGTTAGAATAGTTTATTATGTAATTTCAAGAGTGAATGAGTTAATAATAAAGTAATAAAACATGAAATAAAAAAAAAGCCAAGGTACCAGACTAAGATTTGAATCCAGAACCTTTGAATACAAAACAGTTGCTATAACAAGTTGAATATATACCTGGTCTATGTTAGTCGCTTGGCCCAGTCTCGCACAGTTATATCTACAGCAAAAGTAATGGGAGATTCATTTATACAAAAAACTAAAGGGAACATATAGTGTTTTGCCTTCTGATAGATAGCATGGCTGAATTGGCTTAGATGGCTGATTGATATCTGTGAATATGTGTATGATGCATGGTGACACAGACAACTGGCCATGGTGTCAGACTTCTATACAAGGTCTAATGGAGTACAAGTGGTATATATGGGTATACATATTGTTTATCCACTGGATGCCCTCCTTAGTAAAATAACTGTTTTACCATTCCTTTTTGTCTATAGACACAATCCTGTCCACACCTATCCTTAAGATTTCAGCTGATGTAGTCAACACTCTGAAGTTGTGCACCTGCTATTCGTAATTTGATACAGCATTTTTAGCTCACCGGGTCCGAAGGACCAAGCTTAAGGTGAGCTTATATACCGTGGCGTCCGTCGTCCGTCGTCCGTCCGTCAACAATTTCTTTAAACGACTTCTTCTTCTTAACCACTGATTGGAATTTAACTAAATTTGACTGGAAGCATCCCTAGGTGGTGGGGATTCAAAATTGTACAAATGGTGGGGTTGACCCCTCCAGGGGGCTGAGGGGAGGGGCAAAAAGAGGGCAATTTGGCTATATTGCCTTAAGTGACATCTCCTCTGGAACTAAGAGATGGATATCAACTATATTTGACTGGAAGCATCCCTAGGTGGTGTGAATTCAAAATTGTACAAATGGTTGGGCTGACCCCCCAGGGGGCTGAGGGGCGGGGCCAAAAGGGGCATTTTGGCTATATTGCTACAAACGACTTCTTCTGGAGAACTATGCACTGGATATCAATCATATTTAATCAGAAGCATTCATCAGAGGTAGGGATTCAAAATTGTACAAATGGTGTGTCTGACCCCCAAGGGGGCTGAGGGGCAGGGCCAAAAGGGGGCGATTTGGCTATATTACTTTAAGCGACTTCTTCTCTGGAACTATGAGATAGATATGAACCATATTTGACTGGAAGCATCCCTAGGTGGTGGGGATTCAAAATTGTACAAATTGTGGGGCTGACCCCCCAGGGGGCTGAGGGCTGGGCCAAAAGGGGGCAATTTGGCTATATTGCTACAAACGACTTCTTCCGTAGAACTATACGATGGATATTGATCATATTTGGTCGGAAGCATTCATGGGAGGCAGGGATTCAAAATTGAACAAATGGTTGGGCTGACCCCCCGGGTTAAGGGGTGGGGCCAAAAAAAATGTATTACTTGGAAATGGTTGAGATCCCCACTATATAACCATATATATAATTGCTGAGTATAAAGAGAGGAATGCACATTTGCTTCCAGGATGGCTCTAGGGTCTGGCCCCAACCTTGGAGACTTAACCCCTGGGTCATAACTTTGAAACGGTTGAGATCCCCCCAAAACTGTATATACAAACGCTGGGCAAAAAGAGACAAATGCAGTCATGATATTAGAATTGATCCTAGGGTCCGGCCACAACCCTAGGGACCTAGTTTCTGAGTCACAGCTTGGAAACAGTTGAGATCCCCGCACCATAACCATACATAAAATTGCTGGGCATAAAAAATCAAATACAGATATGCTACAAGGATTGGCCTTGGGGTCTGGCATATTCCCTTGGATCTCATTCAGTCATTCGGAGAATATTTTGCCATGATTGCTTAGATATCCAGGTGAGCGATACAGGCCCTCTGGGCCTCTTGTTTAGGTAGCAGTGTACAGTAGAGGGTTGTGGCCATGGGTGATATTTTTGTTAAATGGCTAACCCCTGTATAATGATATATGTAAAAAAATATAAAAATAAAACTGTACTAAAATTGGTATAAGCATGATGAAGTGGGCTATGTGAGCTTCACATTTATAGAAAGGAAATATTTTTTTGGTCGAGAATAAAATTTTGGCCATAATCCGAAAGGGTGCGTACACATGAAAAGCTAGCTGTACAGGAGGTAAAATTTTGACAACAGCACACGACGCAAAATTGCAAAAAATCAGGTTTTACAACATTACTGGGACCCAGATAATTCTGCAACCAGGTAGGTAATCTTTAATTTCAGACAGAGCTTAGGAAAAAAAATACTAGTTACGGGGGTCAAATTTTGGGTTGAAAATAGCAATTTTTGGTAATTTTTGATGTGGTAACCATGGTTTTCACACAAGTGACAATCATAGAAAAGGTTTATACACTTCTCAGTACTTTATATGTATTGTAAATGTAATGCAGTTTACAAATAAATATACATGTATACATGTGTTGTGTAGGGTAAATCCGCTGTGTTTACATTTCCTCGACATGTGCCTTGTTTATCAGAGTCGGGCCATTTCTACTGTATACTGCTACCTTATGTGAGTCCCTTAGTTTTAAAACATTGTTCGCACTACTTCTCTCAAAGTAATGCACTAATTTGAATGATACTTGGTATGCATAATACCTTACCTCGAAATCATATAGATTAAGTACTTCAGAATAACATAACTATGGAGTTAGATATGTGTAAACTCTCCTGTTTAAAGAGTGATGCCCCATTATTTTTTGCAATATTAAAGTAAAGCACTGATGTTTCCAGGGTAACGGTACTTGGTGCACAGAAATTTACATCAGGGGGATGTGAATAAAGTATATATATATATATTGGTTTTACCTGGAAAGGGCTTTAATATGCGATACCTTGGCCTAATCCAGTTGCATTCTTGCAATAAAATCGATTTGAAATGAAATGAAAATGAGTTTCCTCCCCTATTTATGGAGTTCAGCCCTTTAAAAATGTTCTCAAAAGAAATGTAATGTGCTATTGGTGATGGGAAATACCAAATGTTAGCTTAGCATTCTCAAACTAGTTTATAGTACCTTCGGTACCTAGCAATTTGGAAAAACTAGAGAAATTGCAAAACATTCTGTATACATAGCCAATGTAGACAGTATTTTTCAAGTAAGTCAATCAGGAAGTTATTGTGAAATGATGGGTCGAGCTAAAGGGAAATTCCCTGTAGTGCAGGAAAGCCAGAAGGCAACCATAATCATATGTACAATCAAAACTGCCAAACTATATACATGTATATGGTAATACCAGGTAATGTTTTAAATTTCAGTGCTAAAGTGAAATTTGATAAAAATATAATAATAGAAAGTCAGGGAATTTTAATTTGCTTGAAATAAGTACTAGCGATTGAGATCTTTTTAAAAACATAGACTGATAGAGAAAAGTTCAACGTTGCATGCATGTAAACCAAGGGGTCTAGACAGCCTAACAAGGATGTTGCCTGTCACCTGTACATCTAGCTTGATCACCTTGTTATTAATTTTGTATGTATACATGTACAACCTATAACACTCTATATATATACTCTAACACACTTAGCAATAGCAGTACAGTTATATGAATTAGTTATTTTCAGCGCATACACTACAGACGACACATTTCCCCATTATTGTAGATCTGACACATCTGTCCATGTCCTTTATAATGAGAGGTGTGATGGTTCTGTCCCTGTGATCAGAGCAGATCACTAGTGCAAGTAACTATTGTATTGAGGATACAGGATGCTAGGTCACGGCAAGTGTTTACTTTCACCTGGTATTTATAGCTAGCTAGGGAGAATAGGGCTAGTCACGCTAAGTGTACGGTTACACCTGTGTACAGGTATACTTAAATAATGGTGACGCATCGGGCAGTTTACACCCGTGTACAAACACAAGGATGTAGCTGTGCTAACAACAGAGGCTGGACAGCTCTTGTTAACTTGGAGTAATTAACCTTGACATGTCATTGTATTCAAGTGTGTTACTGTTTTACACCAGTGGAGGGATCTAACACTGAGACTCAGGTACTGTCTTCAGGTAGATATAGCTACAGGTGGAACGGATCCAGCCTAACACTGATGGTGTCGTAAATCATTTGTTACTCAGCTCCTATTGATTGTGTACATGGCTTTCTTGTGCTGGGGTTTGTACTTGGTAGATTAAACACTTTACTTTGACTGGTCTTAATGTTGTGTAACTTCAGTTTAACAGCTGGTAAATTAAGGTGCAGTGTCGATAGCACTAACATTTATGTCTGGACCGTACCAGGAGGGAATATATTACAACGTATGTACAAAAGTTTAAGGATATGACGCATGGCTATACCTTTATGTCATGGCCTGATTGTAATTAGCTGCAGTTGATTAATTAGTAAGTGAAACAGATGAACACAAGTGGGAGGTTTCATTAAGTTAGAAGACACAATACTAAGGTTGATCAAGAGTGTGTGTATTTGATAAAGGCCTTATAAGTCAAGCCATTACTGTCAATGTATATGATGGAAACCATCTTGTGCCAGTTGTGGGACAGGGACACACAACATTATATATACCTATATCTCTATCAGTCATTTATCAGGTAATTATTGGCAAATGTTCTTGTGTACAATAACATTTGTCTGGAAAAAGTATTGTAGAGTGTAAAGATAAAATAAGTCAGGCAAGGACAGGGAGTCCTGAGCACATACATGCTATGGTGTCTATTTTAATACAAACGACTTATCACAACAGGATGTTCTATCAGTGAGCATGTACGATGAGTCGGCTGGTTTTGGCGGTATAATCCTGATTTTTCACCCTATATTTTACTTTTGAAATCAACAGAATTCAATGTACATTAAAACATCAGTTTATAACCATTTCTGAGGACCTGTTTGCTGATACTATATAACTATAAACTAATGTATATATTATGATATACTACTACCATTACCCCATGGGTGCCTGAAAATCATTTTGTTATAGACTTAAAATTATACTAAACCTATACACCAGATTTTGCTTGGAAATTTCATAAAATTATTATATCTTTTTACTTGCATAATCCTGGTTCATTAAATTATATTTTTGCTTTTTGCTAAAATTACTCAATTATGACGTTTTTATATGCCCGTCAAATATTTTGATGGGACGTATATATATTAATCACAGGTCTGAAATATCAACACAACGACCAGGTTTGGGACAGTACATCCAGTTTATTAATATTACCTAATCATTTATAGAAACAGCAATTACATCATAATTATGTGATGTTACGTAATCAATTAATAGCATTCTTCTGAATCCCCCCACATCACCGCCATGTGTAATAACTGGATCTACACATATACTACTCTTGCTACACATCACACAAAATAAAAGGGGGAGATGGCTGGGTGGGCCAAGATTATTCTTCACTTTATGACAGAATATAGCTAGCTTGCCAAACACACCTGCATGCTACGCCTCGCCGCTATAAAGCGATCCCTTTGACCAGGGAGGGATGCTGAGCCCCATGCATTCCCGCCTGCTGCATGAACAATTTGATTGGTCAGTGTAGTGATGACCATAATATATCGTAAAGGGAGCATTCATCCATCCACACTTCGGTTTCGTCAGGATATATAACATGCAGGCATAGTTCTCAACTTTACTGAGTTCTACACAACATAATTAGTTTCTTCTCTTCATATTTCCATGTTTTCATACAGTTAGATACCCGTACAATAATGCATCAGCAGGATTTTATGTTATAATTAGCTGTTGATTTTGTGTGGGATATTCGTATATTGATCTGCCCTGCAGTACTCTTGTTCACTATTGTTTTGTTAGATAGGGGTAATTTTAAATGCACTTTTTAGACATCGACCAAGTTTTCTTCATCCTTTCTGTCCCATGAAAAAATCGAAAGGTTGGAAAGTATGATGATCAAGAAGGTTGACAGACAAAATGTTCTGTAGGTATGAGTTTGAGTCTCTGAAATGAGATGAAGGAAAAGTAGTTTTTGTGGGTGAAGTACCTGTTTAGAAATGAAACTGTACATAATTCAATTACCTGTTACTGTGATCGGGGAATGTTACACTATTGATTGAAATTACAAACTCTACCTGTCACAGATGAAACTGAAAGTTTTATACCTCTCACTAATACCCGAGAGATGAATTTAGACAGAGAACAGTATGTTTCCTCCCTCGTCCCTACCTCAACACGTGTGCTTCAACCACCACCAGCTGTCTCGGGACTCCCACATTAAAAATCTTTTCACTTTGTGAGGGATTAGATTTTTTGTATAAATTATAATCACAACCTGAATTGAAACCTGTGTAATACAATAGTTTCCTTCAGGCTACCAGCATATGCCTATCGTGATATGCTCTATATAGCTAATTGCTAGTGTTACATGTATTTCAAGGAGACTGCTTTGAAGTTAATGCAGCAAATAAACCTTGTTAGATACTTGCATGCACTTTCATGCTAGTGTATTACAATGCCATGCAATATCAATACAGGCATACATTTTAGGTGAGATTTTTTTTATCGTTAAAATTCTCATGTATGATTTGTACATGAAGACACCCTCAAAAGGGAACAAGGGTAGGGTAAGATTTCATTGCCTACAGCAATATGATGAAAACCAATTATCACCATAACAGTAAAAATTGATAATGATGTGCCATATTTATTGAAAAATATCTTTTTAACGATTCGTTGTGTAGGTAATATCTGTATGTGATTTTGAAAGTATTGAAAATGTCGACTTACAACAACTGTTGACCCAAAGTTCAAGGGACCAAATGTTTGATATGATCTATAGTGATACATGTGCTAGAGCTCCAGCCTAATTTGACCCAGCTTTTGAGAAGATCAATGCTAACAGGCTAATACTTCCTGTAGTCTTTGTTGACATTGGGTCTGTCTGGATTACCTGGGTCATAACAGGAAGATCAGATAATTTACAGGATGTTTAACATGTTAGAATGCTGTCATAACAAGGGAAATAATCAGGTTATCTGTCTGGGAATCAAACCAACTGCCTTAACCCTAAGTCCCAGTAATGATTATGGACAAGTGCCTGGCTAACTCTTATGTGTAAGTGTCTTGCTATCCTCTCAATATAGGTGTAGGGTTTGATTGTCCTAACCTGTTGTCCTAGGTATAGTGTTTGTTTGTCCTAGAACATCAACCTAGGTGTAGTGTTTGGTTGTCCTATAACTTGTCACCCTAGATGTTGTGTTTGGTTGTCCTAGGTGTGTAGTGTTTGATTGTCCTATAACCTGTAACCCTAGGTGTATAGTATTTGGTTGTCCTATAACTTGTCAACCTAGATGTATTGTTTGGTTGTCTTAACCTGTAACCCTAGGTGTATAGTGTTTGATTGTCCTAATACATCAACCTAGGTGTAGTATTTGGTTGTCCTATAACTTGTCACCCTAGATGTAATGTTTGGTTGTCTTAACCTGTTGCCCTAGGTGTGTAGTATTTGGTTGTCCTATAACTTGTCACCCTAGATGTAATGTTTGGTTGTCTTAACCTGTAACCCTAGGTGTATAGTGTTTGATTGTCCTAATACATCAACCTAGGTGTAGTATTTGGTTGTCCTATAACTTGTCAACCTAGATGTAATGTTTGGTTGTCTTAACCTGTATCCCTAGGTGTATAGTGTTTGATTGTCCTATAACCTGTCACCCTAGGTGTATAGTGTTTGATTGTCCTATACCCTGTTGTCCTAGGTGTATAGTGTTTGATTGTCCTATAACCTGTAATCCTAGGTGTATAGTGTTTGATTGTCCTATAACATGTTGTCCTAGGTGTATAGTGTTTGATTGTCCTATTACCTGTAACCCTAGGTGTATAGTGTTTGATTGTCCTATAACCTGTAACCCTAGGTGTATAGTGTTTGATTGTCCTAATCCATCACTCTTGGTATAGTGTTTAGTTGTCCTTTCCTATCACCATAGATGTTGTGTTACCTCGTCCTAACCTGTTACCTTAAAAATAATAATAATAATTCAAGGTTCTTATATACCGCTTCATCACAACCTAGTTTGTAGGTCGTCTCAAAGCGGTTCACAAATTATTATCCACGGTTATAGGGCCTTTGCAACCAACCAAGGAGTAACAGCCGGAGCTTCCATTTTTACGCTAACAGCTAGCATTCAACAATTCTAGCTCTGCCCAACCACGTACTCATTTACAGCTAAGTAGACTGGAACAAGCGGAGTAAAGTAACTTGCTCAAAGATACAACACAGTGCGGTGCCGTGACTCGAACTCGCAACCCTTCAGTCACGAGCCCGGCGTCCTACCACTAGACTACCGTGCCTTCGAGGTAGTGTTTGGTCAAACTGATGTCATTCGGAACAATTTACACTCAGCAGTGCCACTTTGGCATGGTGATGGGGCTTGCTACATGTATTTTCGTTTTCAGAAACGCTTACCATTCATTTTTGAACCTCCTGCAGTTCTGAACTTAATTTATGACTTTTGAATTTGAAAGGTCATTCAAGCTAGGTTACATGCATGTTATCAACAATGAAATCAACTATGTGGGAATTGTAAGATTTGAAAATATTTTCATTCTGTTGTATACATGCAGCTATGTGTACTGGTATAATGTGTCCAACAAAGCCTGATAAAAAAACTAATTTACACCTTACATAAATCAAGTTGATATGTGTGAAATTTGGATTTTAACAAAATAGGTAACTGGACTGCATACAATATCTGTAACCATAGGCCTGTACAACATAGGATATCAGTAAACATAGGCCTGTACCACATAAGATATCAGTAACCATAGGCCTGTATGATAGGATATCAGTAACCATAGGGCTGTACGACAGGATATCAGTAACTGCATACAATATCTGTAACCATAGGCCTGTAAAACATAGGATATCAGTAAACATAGACCTGTACCACATAAGATATCAGTACCCATAGGCCTGTATGACAGGATATTAGTAACCATAGGCCTGTACCACGTAAGATATCAGTTACCATAGGCCTATATCAGTAACCATAGGCCTGTAGACATAGGAAATCAGTAACCATAGGCCTGTAAGACATAGGATATCAGTAACCATAGGTCTGTACGATAGGATATCAGTAACCATAGGCCTGTATGACAGGATATCAGTAACCATAGGCCTGTATGACAGGATATCAGTAACCATAGGCCTGTAGAGATAGGATATCAGTAACCATAGGCCTGTACGACAGGATATCAGTAACCATAGGCCTGTACCACATAAGATATCAGTAACCATAGGCCTGTATGACAGGATATTAGTAACCATAGGCCTGTACGACAGGATATCAGTAACCATAGGCCTGTACGACAGGATATCAGTAACCATAGGCCTGTACAACATAGGATATCAGTAACCATAGGCCTGTAAGACATAGGATATCAGTAACCATAGGCCTGTACGACATAGGATATCAGTAACCATAGGTCTGTATGACAGGATATCAGTAACCATAGGCCTGTATGACAGGATATCAGTAACCATAGGCCTGTAGACATAGGATATCAGTAACCATAGGCCTGTACGACAGGATATCAGTAACCATAGGCCTGTACCACATAAGATATCAGTAACCATAGGCCTGTATGACAGGATATTAGTAACCATAGGCCTGTACGACAGGATATCAGTAACCATAGGCCTGTACGACAGGATATCAGTAACCATAGGCCTGTACAACATAGGATATCAGTAACCATAGGCCTGTAAGACATAGGATATCAGTAACCATAGGCCTGTACGACATAGGATATCAGTAACCATAGGTCTGTATGACAGGATATCAGTAACCATAGGCCTGTATGACAGGATATCAGTAACCATAGGCCTGTAGACATAGGATATCAGTAACCATAGGCCTGTACGACAGGATATCAGTAACCATAGGCCTGTACCACATAAGATATCAGTAACCATAGGCCTGTATGACAGGATATTAGTAACCATAGGCCTGTACGACAGGATATCAGTAACCATAGGCCTGTACGACAGGATATCAGTAACCATAGGCCTGTACAACATAGGATATCAGTAACCATAGGCCTGTAAGACATAGGATATCAGTAACCATAGGCCTGTACGACATAGGATATCAGTAACCATAGGTCTGTATGACAGGATATCAGTAACCATAGGCCTGTATGACAGGATATCAGTAACCATAGGCCTGTAGACATAGGATATCAGTAACCATAGGCCTGTACGACAGGATATCAGTAACCATAGGCCTGTACCACATAAGATATCAGTAACCATAGGCCTGTATGACAGGATATTAGTAACCATAGGCCTGTACGACAGGATATCAGTAACCATAGGCCTGTACGACAGGATATCAGTAACCATAGGCCTGTACAACATAGGATATCAGTAACCATAGGCCTGTAAGACATAGGATATCAGTAACCATAGGCCTGTACGACATAGGATATCAGTAACCATAGGTCTGTATGACAGGATATCAGTAACCATAGGCCTGTGCGACAGGATATCAGTAACCATAGGCCTGTATGACAGGATATCAGTAACCATAGGCCTGTATGACAGGATATCAGTAATCATAGGCCTGTACGACAGGATATCAGTAACCATAGGCCTGTACAGCAGGATATCAGTAACCATAGGCCTGTACGACATAGGATATCAGTAACCATAGGCCTGTACAGCAGGATATCAGTAACCATAGGCCTGTACAGCAGGATATCAGTAACCATAGGCCTGTACCACGTAAGATATCAGTTACCATAGGCCTGTATGACAGGATATCAGTAACCATAGGCCTGTATGACAGGATATCAGTAACCATAGGCCTGTAAGACATAGGATATCAGTAACCATAGGCCTGTACGACAGGATATCAGTAACCATAGGCCTGTACCACATAAGATATCAGTAACCATAGGCCTGTGCCATGTAAGATATCAGTAACCATAGGCCTGTATGACAGGATATCAGTAACCATAGGCCTGTACCACGTAAGATATCAGTAACCATAGGCCTGTACCACGTAAGATATCAGTTACCATAGGCCTGTATGACAGGATATCAGTAACCATAGGCCTGTACCACGTAAGATATCAGTAACCATAGGCCTGTACCAAGTAAGATATCAGTTACCATAGGCCTGTATGATAGGATATCAGTAACCATAGGCCTGTACCACGTAAGATATCAGTAACCATAGGCCTGTATGACAGGATATCAGTAACCATAGGCCTGTACGACAGGATATCAGTAACCATAGGCCTGTACCAAGTAAAATATCAGTAACCATAGGCCTGTATGACAGGATATCAGTAACCATAGGCCTGTACGACAGGATATCAGTCACCATAGGCCTGTACGACAGAATATCAGTAACCATAGGCCTGTACGACATAGGATGATTGAAAGCTAGGTACATGTGCACATGTAAACATTTAGATAAAGATTGCTTTATGTGCCTGTTACTAATCAAATATTTACACAGACTGATTTACATAACTAAAAAGCTGAAGCATATATTGCACTGGTTTTTTTTTCTAATTCTTTATCCGGGAGGAAAGCGGTTAATGTTAGTGTATGTTGAAATTTAAGTAAGCTGTTAACTGCTTTATAGCTGGTCCTCGTGTTCTTTATAGCCCCCAAAAAGTGTTATTTACCAATAAATTGAACCTGTTTGATTGCAGACATAGACACTGTTAAAGGGAAAGGCCCGTCAAGTACAGACAAAAGAACATGGCGCCTTACCTCCGAGTAGTCTCCATAGGTAAGTTTTTCTGTCTGTGTTAGATATGTCCTGTATATATCTGCCTACCAAGTACAGTGTATCTAGGGGAAGTCGAACCATTCAGACCTTGATGGAGCTGTCACACTCAGTCACAGATATGGTGATTTATGAATAAGTATTTTTTGTGTGCTGTATTTTGCATAAAAGATTGTAAATGTGATTTAAAGGATATTGCGTTTCAAAGTCATATGAAGTAACATACTTTCCCCAAAAAATAATGAAATAGTTTTGGTGAAATTTTCCTTATGCTACAGCACTACAAGCAGGCATAACTGCCTAATGGTGTTACACAGTAACAGACTTTTATGTTTCCTTGACTGTTGACTGTGCATTCAAAATGATTATTACTTTGAAGTGTTGTCCCATTTTTGTCACAATTCTATGAAAATCAACTTATTTGAACATTAGTTACATTTATAGAAAAACACCAATGTGCAAATTTGTGTAAGGATCTTTTAATTTGTGAAGTTTGTTTTATACATTAACGAATGTTTCAAATGTTCCTATCCCTATCAATGGTTCAGTGGGATTCACCATAAAAGGTGATTTCTTTGAGGATTCATGTTCTCACCAGTCTTGTAATTTTCCTCAAATTCTGTTTGAGGATTACGTATATATTATAATGTCGTTGATTAATATTACTATCAGTACAGTTGTATTTATGTTTATGTCATTGATTACTATCAGTACAGTTGTATTTATGTCTATGTTATTGATTACTATATCAGTAGAGTTGTATTTATGTCTATGTCATTGATTACTATCAATACAGTTGTATTTATGTCTGTGTCATTGATTACTATCAGTACAGTTGTATTTACGTCAATGTCGTTGATTACTATCAGTACAGGTGTATTTATGTCTATGTCATTGATTACTATCAGTACAGTTGTATTTATGTCTGTGTCATTTATTACTATCAGTACAGTTGTATTTATGTCTGTGTCATTGATTACTATCAGTACATTTGTATTTATGTCTGTGTCATTGATTACTATCAGTACAGTTGTATTTATGTCTATGTCATTGATTACTATCAGTACAGTTGTATTTATGTCTATGTCATTGATTACTATCAGTACAGTTGTATTTATGTCTATTTCAGTGATTACTATCAGTACAGTTGTATTTATGTCTATGTCATTGATTACTATATCAGTAGAGTTGTATTTATGTCTATATCATTGATTACTATCAGTAAAGTTGTATTTATGTCTATGTCATTGATTACTATCAGTACAGTTGTATTTATGTCTATTTCAGTGATTACTATCAGTACAGTTGTATTTATGTCTATGTCATTAATTACTATCAGTACAGTTGTATTTATGTCTATTTCAGTGATTACAATCAGTACAGTTGTATTTATGTCTATGTCATTGATTACTATCAGTACAGTTGTATTTATGTCTGTGTCATTGATTACTATCAGTACAGTTGTATTTATGTCTGTGTCATTGATTACTATCAGTACAGTTGTATTTATGTCTGTGTCATTGATTACTATCAGTACAGTTGTATTTATGTCTGTGTCATTGATTACTATCAGTACAGTTGTATTTATGTCTGTGTCATTGATTACTATCAGTACAGTTGTATTTATGTCTGTGTCATTGATTACTATCAGTACAGTTGTATTTATGTCTGTGTCATTGATTACTATCAGTACAGTTGTATTTATGTCTGTGTCATTGATTACTATCAGTACAGTTGTGTTTATGTCTGTGTCATTGATTACTATTAGTACAGTTGTATCATTGATTACTATCAGTACAGTTGTATTTATGTCTATGTCATTAATTACTATCAGTACAGTTGTATTTAGGTCTATGTCATTGATTACTATATCAGTACAGTAGTATTTATGTCTGTGTCATTGATTACTATTAGTACAGTTGTATCATTGATTACTATCAGTAAAGTTGTATTTATGTCTATGTCCTTGATTACTATCAGCACAGTTGTATTTATGTCAACGTCATTGATTACTATATCAGTACAGTTGTATTTATGTCTATTTCAGTGATTACTATCAGTACAGTTGTGTTTATGTCTATGTCATTGATTACTATCAGTACAGTTGTATTTATGTCAATGTCATTGATTACTATATCAGTAGAGTTGTATTTATGTCTATGTCATTGATTACTATCAGTACAGTTGTATTTATGTCTATGTCATTGATTACTATATCAGTACAGTTGTATTTATGTCTGTGTCATTGATTTCTTTCAGTACTGGGTTTCTCATTCCTGGCAATGGTCAACTCTAAGGGAAGCATGGAACTTAAAGGTAGGTCATACACCATATAGGTCAAATGGAAAAAGATGATTAGTCATAGGTCAAATAATAGTTATAATGTTGAAACACCGGAGTTTTCAAACAGATGTCATCTGGGAATGGAATTTTATCACATTGATCACATGGGGTAATTTTAGTATTTGGAATAAGTAGAACGGTTCCACTGGCACTTTATGGTTAGTATAATACAACATATTAATTGGGTGGTCAGGTGGTGCAGTGGATAGCGCACTTGCCTTTCCCCGATTGGACGTGAAAAGGTATGGGGCCACCTACCTGACTACATGAGTTTTCTCCAGGTACTCGAGTTTCCTCCCACATTAAGACCCCCGCGTGCTAACATCCTGCAGGCCAACGAGTGATTAATATAAGTTGAAATGATTTAATCTTGCTTGTAACAAACCTTTTCATTGGCCTAAAAAATTATGTTATCAGCCCATAACATAAAAAAATGACATCGCCGTTTGTAACATCGCTTTTGATTGGCTGATACAGCGGCGTAATAATTGCTAAGAGAAAAGAACTTATCAATAAAAGTTGATTTCCACAGGGGTTGTGTATAGTAGATTGAATTATAACTTATAAGGATTAACTTGAATATATTTTTCATGTTATGGAGCTATAACACAAAAAACCGGAGTGTACTCTCATAAACCGCTTCGGGGTTTATTTAGAGTACACTCCGTTTTTTTGTGTTATAGCTCCGTAACATAAAAAATAATTTCAAGTTAATCCTTAAATAACTTGTTTTATAATTGTTGTAAAATAAATAAAGTTTATATAACATGTGTTTCTTAATTAAAAAAGGGATCCTAAGCTCCTTCATCAGAGCTTAACCTGTCTTACCTTTATATGTGATTGTTAGATATCTGCATCGGTTCATCATACAAGAGCATCAAGGAGGTGGGACAGGGGGGTGTGCTGGAGGTCGGGGCAAACACTACTCCTCTCTGGAACCCTTGTGTGATGAGAGTGGAAACATGTGCACACTGCAAAGTGGTTGTAGAGCCGTACGGTCAAGACTTCAGTCTACTGGGCTGTAACAGCAACTATGATACCACCGGCAAGTCTTGTCCTGTAGGGTACGTACAGTCATTCCTGCTGATTCAAGTGGAGCACAGTTGGAGATAGATATCATAATGTTAAACAAATATTAAGTCTTTTCAGTCATTGCCTTGAGTTCAACATCTTCATAGATTTGTGCACATATCTATGTATGGTATCTGCACTTAATGTCCTAAAAAGGATATATCTGGGATAGGTTTTTTATCACAAAGGTCTTTCAATATCCTAAAACCTTAAATATCTAGAATGATTGAGACGTTACAGATGTCTTGCTCTGTCATAACAACTAATTATAAGATATTTGTTATATACTATTAATCTTAAAGGTCATTTCATTCTCTTGATAATTTAGAAATCTAGAATATACTGTTAAAGTTCATTTTTTCATTATCCTCTAACAAATTTGTCTTATTGAGTTTTTAACTGTATTGACAGCTGAAGAATGGAAATCAATTACAGGAAAAATTCCAAATAAGATAGAAGTATCTCTTATTTGATATTTTAATATCTTCTATGTTTCCATTGCAGATGTCAGTACTTCTATATTTTTGACCAGTTTTACAAGAACCAGACAATGAGTTTCTACAAGGACAGTTCTGCCACCAGCTGGAACCTGCCCTTTGTGTCAGAGTCAAGTGTTGTATTTATAGGCTTTTGTCACGCCAATGTACCCCTCAACAGGTCTATACAGCTTCGTTTTACTATAGAAGGTGGGTTCTAAAAGCTCTCATGTGAGGCATTGATATGTTCTCAGGAACTAATTTTTCCAGAATCTGTTTTCCTTCCACCATCACTTTGAAACATCTTAACACAATACGTATGTGTATTCTAGATTGGCAGAATTGCAAACCATACAAAACTGTAAGTCTGTTTTGCATCTGATCTGAAATTATTACTTATTATGTAAATTTGCTCTGACATGATACTGTGAAAATTTTCAGTTAATACTTGGAAAACACAGATTTGAGGATAAGAACAGCTCTTTAATTGTAATTTGCATGTTATTTTCTCCAGCTAAAGAAGAACGTTATGGAGGGTCGAGTGACATTTCTACCTCAGGGGAAATAACTTCACCTTTCTTCCCAGACCTTTACTCATTGAACTCAGAGTACTACACCTACCAGATTGAGAGTACGAATAAGGAGGACCACGTCTACATCATCTTTACAGACTGGGATATATCTTCCACCAGTGAGGTGTTTGTACGTACATAATGTAATTCTGTAACACTTACCAGTATCTCACAGACTGACGTAGCCTCCACCAGTTTGGGTTTTTAACTCACCCGGCCCAGAGGGCCAAGTGAGGTTATGCCATGGTGCAGCGTCCGTCCGTCCGTCGTCCGTCCATCGGCCGGCCGTCTGTCCTCAACTTTTTACTTTAAACATCTTCTTCTGAATAACCAAAATGCCCATGGTGATGATATTTGGCCAGTAGCATGCTGGAATGAAGGGCTACCAAGAGTGTTCAAATGAATGACCTTCATCCATTTTCAAGGTCAATTGTCTGAATACCTAAGAGGCCTAGGATAATGATATTTTGCCAGTGACATGCTAGGATGAAAGGCTACCAAGTTTGTTCAAATGAATGACCTTGACTTATATTCAAGGTCACAGGGGTCAAATATGTTTAAAACCTTTAAACGAATTCTTCTGAATAACCAAAAGAACCAGTATGGTGACATTTGGTCTGTAGCATGCTGGGATGAAGTGCTACCAAGTTTGTTCAAATAAATGACCTTCACTCATACTCAAGGTCACAGGGGTCAATTGCTTAAAAAAACCTTTAACTCATTCACCCCTGAAGTTTCATAATGAACTATTCCAACCTTTGAATTGGCAGAGTTCAAATGCGTCTTCAGGGGTGAATGAGTTATACAACTTCTTCTGAATAACCAAAACGCCAAGAATATTGATATTTGGCCAGTAGCATGTTAGGATGAAGGGCTACCGAGTTTGTTCAAATAAATGACCTTCACCAATATTCAAGGTCACAGGGGTCAAATATGTTCAAAAATTTAAACAACTTCTTCTGTATTACCAAAATGCTCAGGGTATTGATATTTGGTCAGTAGCATGTTAGGATGAAGGGCTACCAGGTTTGTTCAAATAGAAAAAAATGGCTGCCATGTAAGACACACACACACATGTTAGTGCTCTGACAAAAAAGGATAATCTTATGCTGTTATTTACTAGCTACAGTGCTTACTTTTGGCAGAGATGTGTTTAAGTATTATGCCTACACATTGACTGGAAAAATAATTCGGGAAAATATCAAGAATAGTAAAAGAATATGGCACTTTAATTTCTGATCAAGTAGACATTCTGAACGAAATTAATTTTGTTTATGAAAATTTGTATAATAATGATGATACTATAGAGGAGGTTAACTTAGACAATCTATTTGAAAAAAAATGATATTCCAAAGTTAAATGTTACAGAATCTGAAAACTAGAAGGTCCTATCTCTAGAGGCATCAAAAACTCTTTATAATATGAAAAATAATGAAAAAAATATTTTTTAAGTGCTTTTGGAAACAGTTAGGTATTTTTGTAATAAGATATATTAACAATAGTTTTGAAAATGGTGAATTATCTGTAACTCAAAAACAGGGCATAATTATTTGTTTGCCAAAGGGAGATAAGTCACGTCAATTCCTAAAAACTGGAGACCTATTTCTCTTTTAAATATAGTATATAAAATAGCTTCTGGAACAATAGCAGGTAGAATAAAAACAGTCTTAGATAAACTTATTATACAGATCAAACAGGTTTTATTTCTGGGTGATCCATTGGGGAAAACACCAGGTTAATCTATGATATAATGCAATTTACAGAGGAAAATAATATACCAGGGATGTAACTCATGATAGATTTTGAAAAAGCTTTTGATTCTGTATCCTGGAAATTTTTGATGAAGTATTGGATTTCTTTAATTTTGGACATAGTATTAAAAAATGGGTAAAAACTTTTCAAAAAAACTCTAATTTGGCAATTAATCAGGGAGGGAATCTGTCAAAATTCGTTGATATAAAAAGGGGTTGCCGACAAGGTGATCCGATATCACCTTATATTTTTATCCTTTGTTCGGAAATTTTGGCAATCAAAATAAGAAATAACAAGAATATCAAAAGCTTAAAAGTACTTGAAGCTGAACAACCTATTTTACTTTCACAATATGCAGACAACACATCTTTAATTTTGGACTGATCAGAAACTTCATTTAGAGAATCTATAAAAGGATTGAAATACTTTGAAAAAATATCAGGATTAAAAATGAATTTGGGAAAAACCGAAGTAGTTTGGATAGGGAGTAAAAAATATAGTGATGAGGTTATGGCTAATGAATGGAATTTACAGTGGGGGCATACAAGGTTTACACTTCTGGGCATTGATTTTCATGTTGATCTATATCATATTCCAAAAATAAATTTTGATAAAAAACTAGTAAAACTTGAAGCTTTGATGAAGACTTGGAGTAGGAGAATTCTTACACCAATAGGGAGAATAAATATAATAAAGTCTATCCTAATTTCTCAATTTAATCACTTATTTATCGCTTTACCAAATCCTGATAATACATTTGTCAAAAAGATAAATACAGAAATATATAACTTCCTATGGAATAGAAAGATTGATAAAATTAAAAGAGATGTAATTATTAAAAACTTTTCTGATGGTGGTCTCAAAATGATACATATTAAATCATTTATAGACTCATTAAAACTAACTTGAATTAGAAGATTACTCTCAACAACAGGAACATAACAAATTATTTTTAATTCAACTATTGATAAAAACCTTCTTGTAAATTGTGGATCAGACTATATTTCCTTTTGTCATAATAACTGTAAAAATCTTTTCTGGAAAGATGTCTTTCTTGCATGGAAAAATCTTACTATTCTGGAGGAAAAATATACAGATTCAAAACAGATCTCTGACATGCTTATATGGTTTAACGAAAAAATCAAAATAGATAATAATAGTGTTTTTTATAAGGATTGGTATAGGAAGGGAGTTGTAGTAGTACTAGTTAATGACTTAAAAAGGGATAACAACAACTTCTTCAGTTTTTTGAATTAAGATATATATAGTGTGTTAGAGCAAATTTCTTACAATATCATGGAATTGTTACAGCTATAAATTAAAGGAGCTTTGCAGTCGGTGTAAGACTAAATAGACTATCCTTTTATTCCAAGAAAGTTACAAATATTTGCTGAAAAACAGAAAGGTACAAAAGATTTTTATAATGTGCTTAGTAAAAATGATATAATCGCAAGTGGAACATAAAAATGGGATGAGCAATTTGAATTTGATGAAGGTGATTGGAAAATGATTTTTAAACTCCTTTTTTCTGTAACAAAAAATACAAAATTGCAATGGTTCCAATTTAGGGTTAATCACCATATTTTAACAACAAATTTGTATTTATTTAAAGTTGGGTTAGTAGACAGTCCTTATTGTAACATTTGTAAAACAGAAATTGAAACGATAGAGCATACACTATGGAACTGTGAAAGAGTTCAAACCTAATGTTCATTCCATTTGAATTTAATAAGTTTTTTTTTCTTTTTGGTACATATCGTCAGAATTGAATAAACAGAAAAGTGGATAATATAATGATCATCTTTACAATAAAACAATATATCCATAAATCAAGATGCCTTAAGAATGAACTCTGCATTATTGCCCTGAAAAATACACTAAAAGATACATATACATACAACTCAAAAATACATTGCTAGAAGTAAGGTCGAAAGCTACTTGAACCAGTTTCAAAGAGAATGGGCCAAATGGCAAAACTTTTTTTGAAACACCCAAAACTTGAAATTACGACTGATTTACCATAAGTAACTTATCAATTTATAAATATAATTGTTATATTGAGTAAATGTAAATATTGATTACGTTCACATTGACAGCTAGCTTACAGAGAAATTCAAAATGTAATACAAATTTTCAACAATCCTACCTTTCCTTTCTGATAATTGTATTGGTATTTTATGTCATGTTATGTATACATATTGTAGCTGTATTGTATTGTATACTAATGTCAAAATTTGAAAGAGAAAAAAAAAATGTTTGTTCAAATAAATGACCTTCAACTATATTCAAGGTCACAGGGGTGAAATATGTTAAAAACTTAAAACAACTTCTGAATAACCAAAATGTCCAGGGTTTTAATATTTGGCCAGTAGCATGTTAGGATGAAGGGCTACCAAGTTTGTTCAAATAAATGACCTTCAACTATATTCAAGGTCACAGGGGTGAAATATGTTAAAAACTTAAAACAACTTCTGAATAACCAAAATGTCCAGGGTTTTGATATTTGGCCAGTAGGATGCTGTGATGAAGGGCTACCAAGTTTGTTCAAATGAATGACCTTCACCTGTATTCAAGGTCACAGGGGTCAAATATGTTTAAAAAAAATTAAACAACTTCTGCTGCATAACCAAAAGACCCAGAATGTTGATAATTAGCCAGTAGCATGCTTGGATGAAGGGCTATCAAGCTTTTTTGTTTGAATGCCTTGACCCACTTTCAAGGTTACATTTAGTAAAATATGTATAAACATTTAAATGACCTAATCTCAATAAACAAAAGGATATGTGGTGATATTTTGCAAGTTGCATCCTGAGATGAAGGGCTATAAAATTTGTTCAACGTAATGACCTTGTTCGACTTTCTAGGTCACAGGGGTGAAATGTTTTTAAATCTTTTAACAGGTTCTATTGAATGACTTATAGTCATAAATACTGATATTTTGCCTGTAGCTTTATTTTAGATCACTTTTGAGGTTACAAGTGTGAGATTAATACCAGGTGAGCGATGCAGGTCCATTGGGCCTATTGTTTGAAGAGAAAGGATCAAAATCAATAAATAATTGACCGTGGTTGTATGATCCTATATCCTTGTGTCTACAATACATAAACACGCATTTTGTCTGTCATATAGGTTGAGTGGGGAAGTTCAGAGGCCTTGTACAAATATAGGGACGATAGACCAGTTATCATGGCAAGCTCTCATAAGGTCAAAATTGTGTTTAACACTGGATATGAGTACCAGCATGGAGTTCTTAGGTCCAATATGGGATTCCGAGTCAAATATAGATATATCAACGGTAAGTTTACAAAATTTGTTACAACCAAAAGAATAAAAACTAACAAATAGATAAATAGATAAAATTACCAAAGTTACAAGAAATTGCTTTGTTGATAATATTTTGATAATATTTGGTTGTGAATTTAGTAAAAATCAAATTGTTGGAATAAAGTGGTTTCAGAAACAGTATACATTTGGTACATTTGTCTAGTTTGAATTTTTAATTCATTCAAAACATATTTAGACAATTATTAAATTCAAAATGAGACAAAAATTGTAAAGATATCTGCATGTTTACATTTCAGCTAACATAGAATATGTGCCTGTTCCCTCCACCAGTGAGTAGTCGACCATATCATAACGTATACAGCATCACCTTATTGCTTTTTATATTAAAAGAACACACAATTAAATTGTTAAGAGCACTATTTTGCAAAGTTCCTTTAAGAAAATAGCAAAGTATGGAAATCCTATTAATGATTAAAATAAGAAATTTAAACATCTAAAACATGTTATGAAATCTGCTGAAAAATCTCATTCTCATACAATATCCATGATAAACTGTTTTTTTTTGTGTCAGATTGTGGAGAGTATAGCTTCAGTAGTGGAGGCAAACTCGAATTTGACACATCTATTGCTCTGAACTACAAGTACTATGACTGTGTATGGGTTGTGCGCACAGCGCCCGGATACACACAGACACTGCTCAACATCATCAAATTCAACATTGGCACATCTGGTAAGGCTCACCATCACAGAGTGGTTTGTTTAATACAGATATTCTACCGAGCTTTGGACTGACACATAGGCAAAGCCTCAATAAACTTAGCTTTATCATCATCACCAACATCTCCAGTGGTAATTACAGTGTCAGTGCACATCAAGATTAGCTCTGTAAAAACAAAGTTTAAGTTACATTTTTTGTTCATTTTGCAGAATCCACTGTATTACACATTATTGACTTCCATCATCCTTTATTTTTTTTCTGCAGGCTTTGATTCTGACGATTACATGGAGATTTATCGTGGCTTGTCCTCCAAGGGTACATTCCTGGACCGTTTCCCTGTAAGTCAGACTATTTCAAAATGGCAGTACAAAGACACTGATGGCTTCTATATTCACTTGTCTGGAAAATTTGGACGGCTGGACAAGGTGCAACTCTCCTTTGTTTCCCTGCACATGGAAGAATGTAAGTTACACTGAAACATGTGCATTCACTTTGATTTATTTTTGGTTATTTGTGAAATAAATCAAAAGATCCCTTATATTTTCACCATTATATATGCTTTAAAATAATATTCGAAAGGATTGAAATTTGTAAAAGAAATAATATACATGTATACAGATACACTTGACTTGTTTAAATGTGCCAATGTTCTCTAGGATATTTGAATTGGTAATTAGTTTATATTGTACAGATGATTGTTACTTGTAGTATGCAGCAGCTTGAATAATCTGTGGCACTGTAACAACGGTTACTGTATCTCTTCCACCTACAAATGTGATGGCATCGATCACTGTGGAGATAACTCTGATGAACAATATGGATGTTCAAGTAAGTAACATGTCACTACGGTAAACCATATCAGTTCGAATCGGCGGATAGTTCGAACACGTAATTTTTTCAATAAAAATAATAATTTTCTAGCTAGTGATAGTTCAAACTCTGATTGACCCTATTTCGGAAAGTCCGAACATGTCAAATGAAGAACGTAAAGTTGGATTTTTTTTCGGCAAACTCCATTGAAAGCTCTCGGCGATCGGCCCCGGAAAAATGCCAATACTTTGATCAACCATAGGAGCCTGAAGTTCTGTCAATAATGAATAATAATAGTAATACAAAAAAAATACCTCTAATATGCTCTAGTTGTATTTTTTTGTATTACTATTATTATTCATTATTGACAGAACTTCAGGCTCCTAAGGATCAACAGACACGTTTAGGGTAATGGGTTGTATGTGTGAGCATTGCAGTACAGTTGTGACAGACAAACCATAAATATATGTCTCAGATTTTAGCATTGATTCATTTTTTTACATTGTTTGAAAAATACATCGTGCACGAGACAGCCAATTGCAACTTAGGCCCCGACAACGTATAAATAACATGCGATCAGTACGAACTGACGTCACGCTGGATGGCAAACTAAGAAATCGCCCGCGTATTGTCAAATACAGTGTTAACTAAGCATTTTTATTATTTAATTGCGACCAGACATCCCTTAACTATTGCCAATCAAGGTATTACCTGTAAACGTGTGCCCTCACACCAGGTAGGGCAGGACACGCGAGATGTCGCGGTAGGGATCCGCCGCCCAACCATGGTGAGTGACGTGATTAGCATTCATGTCCAAGTCCAAACAATCCACAGGTGTCCCAATTAGCGATGGGTAATTTTGAAGGTGTCAAATAAGTTTGGTAGGTATTAGGTATAATTTAAAAGCAGACATGTTGATGTTCTGACCTAATTTTACTAACATATCGTATAACCTATATTTAGGTTATGTAGACTATGTTTTTAATTTATTAAACGGACCATTCATTACGAAATAATATATACAATAGTTTCTGATTCAAATAAAACCTAACCACGCAGAGACTCAGTATTAAGGTCTCTGATACAGACTAGGTAGTCTAACTTTTGTGTCACAAATGAAACGTGTACTGTTTTGGGGCCTACACAATGGCCTCTGCTTCGCAATAACGATCATAATTATCTCGAAATGAAGAAAGTTTAATGATCAATTAACATTGAATTAAATAATATACTATCATTTTACCCATTTATAAATGTGCCATTGTTCTATGCCAGGCCGTCGTTGTTACGTATCGACCTTACATTGGATATATATGTCGGGTATATGTTTCTGACTTGATTTACACTTTGCCGAAATTTTTGCCGATAGTTCGAACTCACGCTTATTTTCTGAAGCATAATTTTGTATAATCCGAACAGGTTCATCAATATTTATTTAATTTTGTTCGAACTGACCGAAGGTTTACCGTATGTATACTTCAGTAGTTGTTATGGCTACAGTGGGACTGTTGATATCGGTGCGTTGAATGATAACTGACTCAGTCTCGTGTATTGGTCAACTATGACAATATGTACCTAGAAAATGATTGTAAAATGAAGTCTGCAAAAAACAATAATGAAAATATTTTGAGGCTACACATTTAGTATGCAACAGGTGTTAATAAAGATAATTTTAAAAAAATCAAAAAAATCACTGACTAATCATAACAAAAGCACTACTCATATGCACTGTTAAGCTATGTAAATAGGTATAATAATCTGCTTCTCTCATGTTGATGAAAAATCTGATCCTCTTCTGTTTCACAATTGTTAACTTCAAAGCAGTTTTGGTATATCATGTAAGCTAGCCGTGCTGCATTACAGGTCCCGGGTCCCCCTGGAAGAAGAGCAGCCAGCAGACACTAGCATTTAGTGTGGTTATTCCTGTAGTCATCTCCGTCTTTCTCATCGTCATCCTTTTTGTACTGTTCCTGCTGGTCAGGCGGTACCGCCGCGCTCAAAGGGAGGTGATCCGCCGTGCCTCAGAGGGACTGCCTTCTATCAGTGAAGACCTTGCCCAACCTCATGGACGTAAGCGAATATTCTTCAATCCTCTTTTCTTATATAGATGTCTTTTGCTAAATAAAGGTGCATGTCACTAAAACATTTCTGGCTATTTTCTCTATCTAAAATAACTTTTTTTTTGTTTGTCTATTTTGCTTTTTCAATTTCATGAGTTCAAATATCAAAAGAAATTGATGATCACTAGATGTTTATGTTGGGTTTGATTGACAGGTCGGAGACGGCGACGGCATCGGGGAGTGATTGGAGAGGATCTGCCTCCAGCGTACGAGGAGGCCATACGATCCCCACCCATGTACCCAGACATTGTGAGTAGCTCACACTAAGCTACTGCTGTGTAAAATTTGTCATTGTTGTCTTTTAATCAGTAATTTTTAGGACATATTTACATCACTACACAACAACTACATGCATAAAAGTAATCAACAGATTATATTTATACGTAGAATGGTTCAAGTATTTTTTTCCCATAGCTGCTTTGTGTTTATCAAATCAGCAGTCATTGTTACCTGAATTTGTAATGTTTCTGTGTTACAGAGTTTAGACCCTCCTGGCCCTGGCCACTGGATGCTGCCAAAGCCTCCTCCATACTCGGAATCTGTAGGTACTCCCATTGGACCTGCAATGCCTCCATGCTTTCATGGAGTTGAAGACGTTTCCACGGAGTGTGCCCTCGCCTCCAACTCCTCAACTGACTCAAGTGAGTCGGAGCAGTGGGATGGACCCCGTAACCATCAGCTGACAGACGACAGCTCGGATGCATCCCCTGTCCCGAGAGTTCGCACCACTCATTCATATAGCACTTCTTACAGTTCTGAGTCCTCAATTGAGAACCCACATTCCCCAAGGCATGTAAGGTATGCTGCTACAGAAACTGAGGCCACTGACCAGAACCCAAGGGACAGGGAAGGGAGGCCCCCACCCAGGCAGGAAGGGGATGGACTGACAGAGCTGCCTATCAGACATCTGCTGATAAATGGCCCAGAGGGTTTATCTGGGGAGGCAAAAAGAAATCACCAGACAGAAAGACAAGCAAACCCTCATCATCAAGGACAGCCGTTGAAGAGACAAACAGAGCAGCATGGGCAGGACCCATCAGCACGACGAGGGAGAGGCCGAAATGAGACCCAACCAACAGAAAGACCAACAGATAGAGTTCATCGTAACAGACATACAGACAGACATCATCATAGTTTGCCAACCGAAAGAGGAGCAGACCGACATTTTCAGGACCAGCCAAGAGAAAGGCAGATAGGCAGACGTGATGATGTTAGACGAAACTTATTTAAATCTTCTGAATCTTCATCTCCTTATAAAGCACAAAGCAAATCTCAAACTAAACTAGCACATGATAAACATAATAAACATAGACTCTCACCTGCAAAAGTAGGCACAAGCCCAATAGAGAATGGTCACAAAGCCAAGTTGTCAGACTTTAGGAAGGAAACGAGGACACGACGTGAGGATGGGGTAAATCAGACACAGGCCCTACACAATCATCCTGGTAGCAGGCCCAGTCAGTATCACACCAGCATGCCCAATATAGCAGACCAACCAGCCCTCTCCAGGCCAGGCTTTCAGTCGCTCAGCAATTTTAGCAGTGCAGGAGCAATTCAGGAGGCTACTGGCATGTCTGGCAATATCCAACCAAAGCATAGGCAGTATGCCAAGTCACTGGAGAACATCTCAAAGGTAGCAGGCTCCCAGGCACTGCGCCCCTTCCACTTCGACAGGGATCTGGACCCTGTAAGATCAGAAAAGGGGGACAGAGCCAGCCGGAATTCGTGGTCTCCCAGGGAGACTGGACAGAGTCGTATGTGTGAGGAGAACCCAGGAACTTCCCGTGAGGCTCTCTGTGGGGACAGTAACACACTCTTCAGGTCAGGAGAGTTCAACACTTCCTCAGGCTGTGTAAATGCTGCATTCTGTGAGTCCCCAACGAGGGAAATACCTCCAGTACTGATATCTGGACAGGGAAATGCTAGCTTGCCACGGAGTGTTACAGACATGCATGTCATCTCTGATAGCTCAGGTTCAAAGTCACGTGTTCAACAGCAGCCACATATTAGCCTCCAATCTGATTTAATAGACAATGACGATAATGAGTGTTATGCATGATCATTTTGTTGTTGTAGAAATAGATCATCAAACATTACTTCTTTTCATTCCAAAAGGACGCTTTCTTAACCTGTGAAGAAGTTTGGGAGGTGATATCAAAAACATGTGTGCATTGCATGAATTCTGTTTACCTGAGGAAGTATTTGACATACTTCAGAATTAAGGTTAGTTCCAGTAAATTATTCATGTGTTAGATGACTTTATCTCTTTGGGAACAAATTGCTTGGATCTCCCAAGCCAGAAATGCTGATACGTTTAAACCTACCATGTATGTACACAATAATGTTGTTTTCTCGTACATGATTGTTTTTGTACCAATATGGATTTGGTGTAATGCACTGATATGGAAACTTCGCTCCTGTTTAAAAGATGTGTATGTTAAGATTCTCTATTACTGTGTGATACTGTGTACATATTCTGATCAGAATTGGTATTACAAGTCAAGTAAAAAACAATAATGTTGTATTAAAAGTGCTATTTGTTGAAATGAAATTCCAATGCATGTTTATCAAAATAATAGAAGAGCTGTGAATGAGGCATATATATGTATACCAGGCATATATATATACCAGACATATATATATACCAGGCATATATATATACCAGATATATATATATATACCAGACATATATATAGACCAGGCATATATATATACCAGACATATATATATATACCAGACATATATATATACCAGGCATATATATGTATACCAGACACCGTCTATATTACTTCTTTGACCTATACCAGACATATATATATACCAGACACTGTAGACCACGGTCTGCTCATTCCTGCCGTGTTAATTAAATATTGCAAATCATCTAACCTTACCTATGTAATAGGAAAATGTCTGTTCCCAATTCCTTAATTTTGTTAGCATAATCGTTGTCTTGATAAAACATATCAAATGGAAGTTGGCATCAAACTCAAGCCTGCGACTGTGTTATAATAATGTGTTCTTAATAACATTGTGAACAAGGTCTAGCCCGATTTTTTCGTGAAATTAAATTGCTGAATTTTAATGCTAAATTCAAAGGTATGGACTATCAGGAAACTTCACTATCAAAGCTGTCTAAGTTGCCTCGTATGTAGTGATGATGTTGAGAGTCGGAGATTTACATTTAGTGTCTTAACCAATGACTGCACTGTAGAGCCTTGATTACCTTACACAATGATCTCTGTCATTAACGCCTTATCTTTTTTTTATCAAGTCTATAGTTTTTTTCACAGTCTTCGGTCATCAAGTCTATATAGTTCACTGTCATTACTTTAGTCATCAAACCAAAGGTTCAGAGTATAAGGAGAACCCTTCCAACTCACGACAGTACATCAAATCAATTTAACTAAAAACCAGTTCAATCTAAACTCATCAAGTAGAAGCAGTTCAAAAACAAGCAATCAGTTCTTATTTGTTTGTTTAACCTCAATTCATCAATTCTGAATTGTTCGTTCAACCTCAAGCCATTAACTAATTCACCCCTGAAGACACATATGATCTCTTCCGAATCAAAAGTTGGAATAGTTCATTATGAAATTTCAGGGGTGAATGAGTTAATTCTTACTTGTTCTTTCAACCCAAAGTCTTCCAGTGGAACTGGTTTAGTTTTAGTCTCCACTGACCAATCAAACCTCCCAGCCATATAAACAAAAGGACATGCATGATCAAACAAATAGTGTGACCAACAAGAAAAAGACAACCCAATACACCCGGGATAGTTGGAGTGCTTTTGTGTGTGGTAATATAATGGCATTTTTGACAGTGACATGACTTTTGATATTTTATGACCTTTGTAAATGGTTAGAAAAAGGTAGGTGGCATGTCCTTGATTTGTCCAGCTATAGAGGATTCTAAGGTCATAAAATGTCCACTTGTGATATGGTACTAAATACCTTGTAAACACTTTCTTTCGTGTATTATTTACATGAATTGTTGATTTGATGTACAGTTGTTTAGTTGATATGTACATAGTTATTATTGTATTACTTCAGATCAGTTTTATAGAAGAATCTTTTATCTCTACACGGAATGTTTTATTTCAGATTTTTACACCACATTCCTTTTAAACAAGTGATTGTTGTAATGTTAATCCATACTGTACAAGCACTGATTGTCCTTTGTCAAAACACTCCCTACCTGAATGTATGGCCATTCATACTGCTAATTGGGAGAGTATTTGTCTATGCATGATATACACTATCAAAATCACATTGTGTCACTACAACAGTTAGATACAGTAATGTGTCAACCGTAAGTGCTATGTCAACAGTAAATGATTTGTCAACAGTAAGACTGTGGTGTGTCAACAGTATGTGATGTGTCAACAGCAAAACACAACTGTGTGTTCTGACAGACACCATTGTGTGTCAAGAATAAAACAAGCTGATGTGCTGACAGTAAGTTATATGTCACAGTAAGATGGTGGTGCATCACCAATAAGACTGATGTGTTGACAGTAAGTGTTATGTTGACAGTAAGTGATATGTCGCGGTAAGATGGCGGTGCATCAACAGTAAAACTGAGGTGTTGACAGTAAGTGATATGTCGCGGTAAGATGGTGGTGCATCAACAGTAAAACTGAGGTGTTGACAGTAAGTGATATGTCGCGGTAAGATGGCGGTGCATCAACAGTAAGTGTTATGTTGACAATAAGTGATATGTCGCGGTAAGATGGCGGGGCATCAACAGTAAGACTGGGGTGTTGACAGTAAGTGTTATGTTGACAGTAAGTGTTATGTTGACAGTAAGTGATATGTTGCAGTAAGATGGCGGGGCATCAACAGTAAGTGTTATGTTGACAATAAGTGATATGTCGCGGTAAGATGGCGGTGCATCAACAGTAAGACTGAGGTGTTGACAGTAAGTGTTATGTTGACAATAAGTGATATGTCGCGGTAAGATGGCGGTGCATCAACAGTAAGACTGATGTGTTGACAGTAAGTGTTATGTTGACAGTGAGTGATATGTCGCGGTAAGATGGCGGTGCATCAACAGTAAGACTGATGTGTTGACAGTAAGTGTTATGTTGACAGTGAGTGATATGTCGCGGTAAGATGGCGGTGCATCAACAGTAAGACTGATGTGTTGACAGAAAGTGATATGTTGACAGTAAGTGATATGTCGTGGTAAGATGGCGGTGCATCAACAGTAAGACTGGGGTGTTGACAGTGTTATGTTGACAGTAAGTGATATGTTGCAGTAAGATGGCGGTGCATCAACAGTAAGTGTTATGTTGACAATAAGTGATATGTCGCGGTAAGATGGCGGTGCATCAACAGTAAGACTGGTGTGTTAACAGACAATTGTGTTTACATTGAATGCAGTGTGTTGAATGACCCAGCAGTATATTGCCACTAAGACACAGCGGTGTTGACAAGTACTGGTCTGTTAATGTTAAGGTACAGCGGTTTCTTGACAGTAAGACAGCTGTGTATTGATAGTAAGACACAGGATATAGAGTACTTTAGTGATGATAATGGACCTGATCATGCCGAGAAGAAGAGTTTTGTTGGTAGATTTTGCCTTATTACTTTGACATCTAAAACTGTATAATAAGACACATTTTCTTTTTTTTTATGATTTTACATATAAAATGGGATAAATCAGGAAACATTTAGAAATGTTAACATTGATTTCACATGTTTGAAATGACCACAATATTATTTCCCTTCAGCTGTCTCTTGTTATACAGTAGTTTGGTTGGTCGGTTTTGCCTTATCAGACAACAGGGTCAGCCTTATCTATGTTATTTTCTCCAGTTACCTATGACATTCTGTAATGATTCATATTGCATATTGACCTTTGGTCAGTGTTGTTAACCACTTAACGAAATTGTTAATTTCTTTAGAGTAACTTGTTGGTTTCCAGTGTGATTGTTTGGTTTCCACTAATGCTAGGTGTCCGTAGTGACTTTAGTATAGAGTCCTGTAAACTCCCTGAACATTTCCTGTTTGATTACTTTTACAATGGATGGAAATAATCTGATGAAGAATTCCTCCATGTTAGACACATTGATTGTATTTACCATGGATTTTCATTGTATGAGAAGTATTTATCAGCAACGTTTATGTATGGGCTGCATCACTAAATACCACACAAAAGGTTATGTGGTAGTCACGTTTATTTATTATTTCCTCTATTTTACACTCATTTACATATCATTTTACTTATCTAGCATTACACTGTCTGAGTGGTAACATCTCGATTATGAAAAGTTATTTTTTACACAACCAATACATATAGGATCTTACATGAGTTTCCATTTCATATGAGATTTATGAAACGAGTCTAAGAATTTTTCAATTTAGCGAGCCTTTGGTGGGCTAAAATGAAAAATTTGTGACGAGTTTCATCAATATCATAAGAAATCAAAACGAGTGTAAGTTCCATTTTATCACATAATCAAGATTTGTGGCATTAATTCGTGTAAAACTACAATTTTCATGCAACCTTGAAATGGAAAAAGACGCCCTTTTGACTCCAGTGCGTAAGTCTGTGACGTCATTTACTTATCCTAGGCGTGACATCACAATTGAAACAATTGAAACTTACAACCAATAATAGAGCTGCTAGGTCATATTACATGGGTTAATACGCAAATAAATATGACATGAATATATTCACTGGATAACACAGTGCATTATGTGATAAAATGTTCTATGTGACGTTTCGTTGACTAGTACGATATGTACACTGTCACCTTCATCAGACAATTAGTTTTACCTCCCAACCTGAAGAAAATGTTCAGACAAAATAGTAACGACTCGTCTTGCATGTGCTACAGGGAATGTTGTAATCCTGAACAATATTATTTCACTACATATTATATTCATAAAAAATCTGTGTTAAAAGTTGTGAATGTATAAATCCTGGTATATCACATCACAAGTCACACCAACCATAGTGCAGTTTCGAGTTATCCAGGCTTTATCGGAAGCTATCTAGAATCTCCTAATATTTCTAAATCACTGTTTTAATGTTTTATCTGTGATTGGCATTCCATATTCATCATGTACTTGCTTGAAAAAGAGTTGTGAGATTTATTTTTACAAAATTGTGTTGAATTACAATACAGTAAGTTAACCATGCAAAACATTTATTTCTACGTGAAGAATTTGATTTTATAAGAGAATGTTTTTCTGCAAAGCAATTGTGACAATTATAGGAATCACTCAATTATCGCTGTTGGCATTGGCACATATGTTTTCATGTGATGATTCTTTAAGGAATGTTTTGATTTCATGAAATTGTCTAGTAATTTACACATACCTAAAGTATCGATCACCAACTCAAGTTCAATTCTGGCTTAAATCTTAAAATCAACGCGGCCGCCAGTGGGGCAGGCGACTAATCCACTTTTGTGGAATTATTGTTGCATATCATTTCAAAATTCTGTCAGGTGCTTTGACTTATCAGCTGGTTTCTGATGAGTTTTACACTGGAGATTTCTGTATCCGAGTAGCCTATTATCAGAACTTTTTCCTATAAAAAGGAAGTAATGGATAACTCAATTTTCCTAACCGT